ACTAGAAAGGAAACGCCGGATTTCCCAAATATCAAGGCAAACCCGTATGATAACGCTCAAAATTAAGATTTCTTTAATTAATTGCTCGGCACCCTGCAATTTTAAAAATCTGGAACATCGCTTAAACATCTTGATAATTTAGCGTGCTACCAATGGCACTAAACACAACTTAATCACACGCCGTCTGCTACAACACATTTAATTAGTTAGGTATCAGTAATTATGCTAAATTTGACGGGTTGAAATTCCAAAATTCGAACGTGCAGTAATACCCATTTTTAATTGGAATGCTCGGGTCAAGCGAGAGATCTGTTTATCTACGTACACTGTACGACTTGGCTTGTTTTAATCCTGGTTTTAAAATAACATTACGAAACTAAAATCGGCTAATAATTAGCAAACGGAATGGAAATCACAAAATATTAATTTTCTTTCGTCTTCCAAATGACGAGAGCTTTCGGATGCTCAAACAATAATTTAAATCTCCCCATGAGAACGGTTACAAAACCGATTAATTGTTTTTTTTAAGTATCGGTGGATGAAAACAGTGTTATCCATTAAAACAATTACTGTTGCTGTGTGCACTGATCCGTAGACCAGAAAGACCGTACACAAAACACCAAAACAAAACCTAGCTAGCTTTCCCTTTACTTATTAACACTGCACAAAACTTCTCTCCTGCACAGAGGAGAGATTCGACTCTGCTCTCAGTTAATCTGTTAACTTTTAAGTGCGTGACTCCAAACTGATCGGCAAAATTTTGAATAATTAAAATGTACCTTGGGCAAGTACCCAATAAAAACAACAGGTAATTAGAAAAGACGTCGTTGTGAATGAAACATACGGAAATTAATGTGAAAATATCAAAAGTGCGATTTAATCTTAACACACAAAAGGAACATGGTACAAAAACACAAACATTATTACCAATAGACTAAAATTAAAACTTTACTAATTACATTACTTGTCCGGGAATTTAAATATCCAAATAAAAGGTATCCTTACACAGTTCACAAAAACAATTTTCAATGAACACACTTTATACTAACGACCGGGTAATCGCAGCATCTCCTCTTCTGGTAGACACGGGCGTTCCAAATAAAAAAAATTCAACTTCAAACTGAGTCACGTTGAAAACACACGTATGACACGCCGACAAAAACCTCTCCTTGTAACACCTTTGATGGCCAAAACTTCAAAACGTCGAACAAAAATTAACCGCGAATTCGGCTTCCGGCTTTACACACGAAACTTCTTCAAACTTCAAACTTACATTAGACGCAACTTTCAATGCTGGCTGAGGTATCAAAACAAATAATCATCGATGGAACTCGCAAGAAACGAAATAAATTCTTCAACGAAACGTATTACTGCATAAACTCTGGCAAAAAACTGATTTAAATTGGCCGCACTATGGCCCTAAACTTGGCATAAAGTTTATTTCAAATCTTTAACGAAATGTAACTGCTCAGAACGTAGCAAAAAAGAAATGACCTAAATTTTCAAACAAAACGTAGTTCTGCGTTGACTGTGGCAAAAAGTTCATTTAAATTGGCCGCAACCTGGTCCTAAACTTGGCATAAAGCGACGCTTTTCTTATTAACGTCCTATTTACGGCGAAATCCTTCTTCAGAAAATCAAAATTATAACAACCAATCATTCACAGTTGACAACAAAGACTATCCTCTCAACGTACGTAAATAGACCAAAAAATAGAGGTAGAAAATAATTTTTATAGATCAATTTTTTATCAGACATTAAGAGAAAAATCCAAACTTAAATTTTAGGAAAAAATAAAATTTCATCTGTTAACTACACAGCAAAGGCGATAAATCGCATCCACCTGTCACTTAAATTAAGCATTTACATTTGATAACAGATAAAAACAAAACAAAATTCCCGGAAATTTCTACGTTAAAAAAATAAAAATGTAAACAAAAACAACGTTGACCGCTTTCTCGTATGACACAATAATCCCCATGCCGTTACATAGACCAACGACAAATTAATAAAATTTAACTACAAATGTTAATTACATAATAAAAGAGACCGCCCTTGTCCATCTTAATTAGGATGTCCGAAAATTTCATCCTGACGCACGAAATAAACACAGCAATGTATTCTACACTTCATTGTCAGCTCTTGGAAAATAAATGATTAGGTCCGGTCCGGAAGCTAGTTTTTCGCCCGGTTGAGTCTATCCATATACCGAGCGTTCATCAAAGCTGGTAGATTCCATGTACGAAAAGGTGCTTCGTTACTATTAATATCTATTACAATTACCTTCTATAACGGTTGGCAGAGTTGGCGATGCGTTGCCTCAAACCCACCGCATAAACGGCCAACAATAACTCATGGTTGGAAAACAAAATATAGGTAATAAAAATAGAAATTGTGTTCATAAGTGGATAGCGTATTCCGTAAGTACAAAATATTCATTTATTTATTTATTTATTTATGTCCCTCTTGTTCTAGGCCCTCAACAGGCTTACGCCCAATTACAGAGTGACCCGCATAATGCTTTTTAGAGATGCCCCTGCAGAAGGTCTTAAGTTGTTCTATACTACTCCGGTATTTACCTTACGAATTAGGAAAACTGCAGGAAAACCTAATTCGGAGTAGCCGGCAGAATGCTCGAAACTGATCTAAGGAAAATCCCATCTCTGCCACAGATGAAAAATTCACCTCAAACCAGGTTCGAACACCCGACCTCTGGATTTATACCCCAACGCTCTACCACTGAGCTATAATGCCGGTTTCAAATATTGAAAATTGTTAATTACGTTACTTACGATTCTTAGTAATTTATCCCCAATTAACCAAACCCCCCCAATCGAGAAGGATCGATTAAACTGAATATTGAATCTTAAAACAACTTCCACAAATAAATTGATATTCTGGGCAAAAAATCGGACGTATAGGGCCAAGTAGGTACAAGTAAAACATATACGGCAACTCGTACTTTGAAGAAAGTTCGATGTTGACGCCAAGAAGTGAGCTCAGTTCTCGCTTCCAAACCTGCAAGCAATCAAAAGAAAATCCTCTCAAGCCGCAGGGTATATATTATAATTAGCTGATTAATGCCTTGAGGGCCTCGCTCTACTCGCAATCTGCTTCTATACCAGGTACGGTACTTAACTGGCCAACCGCTTCAGAAGAAAGTGTTGGTGGTAAACAACATTCGCGTTTCAAGTGGATCATACATCGGTAGGAATTACAATAACTTCCTGACCCTGAAGTTACGTTTAGAATTACAATGCAAACTCTTGAATAGGTATTTAACGATACGCTTTATAATACGCAGAAGTCAAGATGGTTGGTTGGTTAGATGTTTCGGGTAAATCTAGTTAGTCGGACGCGTATCTCATTGCCCAATTGTCGAGATGGTCGGTACAGATAATATAATGGCTTCAAAGTGGCCTTTATCTTCCTGATAAAATTGACAGTTATAGCGCCCAAACCAATCGATATCTTCGCACGGAAACACCCTAGTGGTTTTAACCCCTCTAGCTGGGCTGGTATTGTTTAGCAGCAAGTACCCGGAGGAAGGAAAAATCTCTCTAAAGGTGCTACATAAAACGTTCGTCTTAAAAATAAAGAAGTACGGCGTATATTGAAAAAAATCCACCTTCACATCTCCATAGTTTAGGTTTATTTACTTCAAATCCCGTACTAACAACCGCACATCTTCTATCTAAGAGACAAGGTTCGGTCTTTTCTTTAAATTTCAAGCGATTGAACCAAATTACGCAATCCTCCGGGAACTAATACCATTGAAAAAATGTTACCTATGCACCTATGCTGGGCTTACGCCATGCGGCTTATTTTCTGTCCAATTTCCTAAGTTCAAGGTCGAAGGGTTCCGTTGTCCGTAATTCGCGAATATCTTCCATCGCCGCTTTTCTTTCAATTAAAAATTGTTTCCTCGCAGGGTAATAACCGAGCAGAACTTTGATTACGCGCGCTTCAACGCGAAAATTCCGTGCACGAAAAATCCTTTCACAATCCAAAATTACCACCGGTAATTTATCAGCTGATAGATTTATTTTTTCTCGGTTTTATCTCAATTTTTAGATCGCTGAGTGTAACTGAATTAAAACATATTGCTCCACGTCTATCGTTTATGCACGTGTATTCAAAAACGCCCATACATCAACTTGCATTATTACTACCTACAATTGTTTAGTATTTTGAGCAGTGTACAAGGAAGTGGTTAGCATTGGGAGCAGTGGTGTGCATTGTTATGCTCCAAACGAATTCGAATTCGGATTTCATTTATTGGTTGTAAAAGTCTTAGTAAGATGTTTTGCGAACAACTCCGCCTGTTCTTCATTAACTACGGTCCAAGTGCGGACAAGTCTTTCCTTCATTTCGTTGTTTTGTTGGTATGAAATGAGCACAATAAAATAAAACCACTGTAAGGACACCTATTCGCGATTTATATCCCAAAAGGCATAACATTTTACCAAAGTGGCGAAGTGAAATGAACCGATTCTCCGGTTTCTCTACAGACTTTAAATCTTGCATGTGTCATATACCAGCGAACTATCCATGGTGGTCTTTGGGTTCAATAACCCACCTTTTCGATTGGCGGTAAATGGTACTAAAAATTGAGGAGCCAATTTGCCCTGAGATAATTTTGTTCTTGTCCATGTTATTTGGCCAATTTCGTGAATCCATGTCATAGTCGCTAGTTGTAAATACATTAAGTATATGTCCAGTCGCTGGTTTATCTGAAATCGAAACTCATACATGCCGTCGAAAATTGGTATACAATTTAATAAGCCAGGGATCAAATCCCGTTGACAGAGTCGGAGGTCAAGCGTTAAATTAGATCCCAAAGTAGAATGATAGAAAATGTGTTACTGAACTTTCACCTATGTATGGGTCGGATCGTCAGTGTTCGTCTCTCCATAACGATAAGCACAAAAACCAATTAAACTTACACATTAAGGAGTCTAAATGAGAATAGGTATTTTCAAATGTTTAAAAAACCAAGGTTCTTCAACACTAAATGGCAATATTTGGCATATATTATTAATAGACAATTAAGTACACCAAAATGCTAAAGTAGAAACTAGCTTCCGCTCGGGGATGATTTTCTTTTACGTTTTCCAATCTTTATTTCTGCCTTGGCTGTTGCCATCTCCACAATCTTGTTCTCAATTAGCGCTTTCTGAAAAGTAAACTAACAAACTCTACTCAAAGAACAATGGGACATACCAAATCATCATTATTGCGTACTAGTAGCTTAACATCGTCAGCGTTGACTGTTGAACGCTTCCCGTGTCTGAAATTGCAACAATACTGTACCATCTAGGTAACTGTTGGACAATACGTACTTTTGAAACGCTTCCAAATCTTTGGCAAATAGCTGTAGTTTCTTCCACGTTAGTTCAGAGATAATATTCAGGCTGTCGATGTCGTATTCGATGTTGAGGTACATCCCCACCTCTCGGCACATCTTTCTGACATCGTTGTAAATATTAGTTTTCAGTTTCTGAAAGTCAAACGGATTAGAAAACGAATATCGCAACTTTTTTAGTTTTTCACGTTAACTTTAGAAGTTTGAAGTATAAATGTTGACCTGACAACCCCTTAGTCGTGTTTCTACTTTTTTTCAGTAATATTATTTAACCGACGGCTAGCTCTTTGATAATTCACGCGACTGCACTGCAATATATTTTTTCCGGTGGCTCGATTTAACTAACGCGGGTCGATTTATAATCACGGGTTGAGCACTAACTTTCTTCCTGCGTAAGCACAAAATTCACGTAATCCCAAAGACGTATCCTAATTTTCGGCCAACCAGTGGGAACTCATCTAGTCACTTTTTTACGCGGGTGCCCCAGCGATTCGCGTTTACGAACTTGGCTCCCTTCAAACCTGCCCACGTAAAAAAAATCTCGAGAGCCAGAAAAACATAGCTTGCCGGTCGATGGCCAAATCGCAAAATCCCTTTTTTCGTTTCTCCCTGAGGCATCTCTACTTGCTTTTCTAATTCTTTCACGCTCCAAAATGGCGCTATATGGATGAAAGCGGCCATCTTTAACGACGAATGACCACCAATCAAATGCACTTGAATCTTAACAAAATTAAAAAAAAGGAAGTATCCATTGCGGAGCATTCTCATCTAAACTAAAGAGACGAACGTAGAAGAATGTAAGTTTTGTTAGAATATTATTTATTGCAGTTTATAGGTTCACAATAAATGCTTTTTCTTCATTTATGAAGCCCTTTCGTATAGTAGAACTATAGAGGAAGACATTAAAGAGCGATGTGTTAAACAGTTGAGGTCGCAAAACTGACGTGAAATAAGTTTTATTGTGGTGTAAAAAAATGTGCTGTGAACATCACAGAATTAGGAACACGCGGCCACCATTCAAATCAGTAAATTATGATTTTTATTGATTTGCGGAATCGCAATTTTGACTAAATATATTTCAGTTCTTAGTAAACTGTCTGTAGAACATTATGTAACAAATATGGTTCAATGAGATGCAATAGTTTAGCCATAATATGGAAAAACGTCAACAAATGACAGTTTTTGGTTACTTTTACACATTTCCGCATGCGCAATTCAGTCGTTTAGCCGAAAATCAGAGTACAGACAAACCGACGTTATCGAAATTTTCTTTCATTCGGATTCCTTGTACTTCAAAGCGTGTACCTATTGCCGTTAAAAAAGTGTGAGAGGCTCCAGCTAGGGTGTAAATATGGATAACTGAAAATCGGAGGGGTGAATTCGTGGAAAGACGACGCGTGAGGAAGTCGCGAAGAATATTACCGGAGTAAAAAGTGACTGAAAAATCTGCGAAATAATGCGCGAAGAAGTGAAAAAGTTGTAAATTAGGAGCCTGAAGGAGGTGTGAAGACAAAAATGTGAAAACGCAAGAAGTCCGTACGAAGGAGTCGTAGTAAATGAAGCGACAAGAAAAGAGGTATCAACAAAATTATGAAGACGTAGTGAAGGATACGTGAAAATAGAGAAATGAACAGAGGAGTAGCGACTTCGTGAAGAAAAGAGGACAGCAAAAATTCAAAGAGAATGAAGATTTGAAAGAATCAAAAGAGTTTGAAAAAGAACGTCCTTAAGAAGCTTAAGAACTTTATAGATTGGGAAAGTTTGGGAAACTCGTAGAAACAGAAAAATGCCAAGAATCAAAACAAGTATAAATTGTGCAGAGAATTTTTTTACAGCCGGAATAGCTTAGTAAATAGTTGGGTTATAAGATTACAAGATGATTAATGGGGAGGGTGATCTTTACACTCAAACATTTAAAGGCCGCAAGCATTCTCCAAAATACTGTTTTTCCCTTTGTATGTACTTTCCTCCAACATTTTTGAGGTACATTCATAATTAAATTTTCACATCATCAATAGATGTGTCTCGTTTAGACGATATTGCCGCCCTTTGTGGGTAACTTCCTCCGACACTCCGTGTCGTGTCCAGACGATCCAGTCGCCCTTTATGAGTACCCTCCTCTGATAATCCGCTCTTGAGACATAAGGAATTATCAACCTATCACTATAAGGGGTCGAGGGGGGGGGGGAGTATAGTTGCCAGTTGGTAGAAATTTAATTCATCGAGACCTTTCATTAGAGTACCATGAAGAATAAATCAGTGTCCCCTTCGCTCCCCTTCACCTCAATTTTGATAAGGACTGTAAGAGAGAAGCGCGGTAGTTGTTAGAAAACAGTTCCTTTCGTTGAGACTTTTAATTATAGATCACGCAGACGACTATTGATGCCATCTGAAAACTTCCGTAACCTGGGAGTGCCCCCCTATAATATAATACGATAAAAATAAACAAAACGTACTTAAGTGTGCCATGAAAGATTCCACGATTTCACGATTGGAACCGCTTTTGTTGTAATGAGTGAGAGCATAAACTTTGATGGACCAATAACAATGCACAATTTTTGTCTTATTGGTTAGTTATGTTGGATCAACTATTTTAATTGAGATACTTTTATCTTATGTTGAATCCAGAGAAATGAATAAAGTTCGCCAAGAACATTGTCATAGATATGCTAGCATTTCATCTCCGATTTTCAATAAGACATACTACTATGTGCGGCCTCTATTATAACTTAATGGAACAACTTGACACAGATCACGGTTTTAGAGAAGCTTTGTGGATGCTGCCATCTACCGTCGAGTGTACAATAGTACAATATGTATGTAACCTGTATAACGCAAGAAGTAATCTCATTTGGAAATAAATTCAATTTCACTCTAAATCTACGAGTATAATGATATTGTAATATATCATTATAGATTTCTACACCTATTTTTACAGCACACGATTATACAAACAATCTGCATTATAAATTTATAACATAACCAAAGATTTATTGAAGGTTGTTGTTCTAAACCACGGAAATAATTGTAAACAATAATTTTCTTACCTGTTCCAAAGTCATTTTATATTTTATAAATGTTGCAGTTCTTTGGAGAGAAAACTTCTTTCTGTAGCACAGAAAACACGTAGCCAAAGCACTACTTAGCTTTTATTTCAAAGTAAGTATAAGAGCGTGAAGAAATTTTGAAACAAAGGTACCTAGTGTTTTATAACTAGCATTATCGAGTGAGTAGGTGAACGTTATATTTTGAATAACGAACCAAATAATAGAACTGCCGAATTGGCCAATCTTGGTGTTACACGAGGTTACATCATTTCTAAGACATAAAAAAAATGTGTGTATTGTTCTGTGCTCTGAGGTTACATTACATCTCTACCACGGTGAATTTCACCGTTATCTCTACCTACACAATTTTAAAATGTCAGTTATGCCACTGATTACAGGGTGAGGTTTTTTTTTTATTTTCACTATGGGATCGCGTAAACCGTAAGAGGTACAAGACTACAAGGTAAAGTAGGTATGCAGAATTTTATGCTGATTAATTTTTGCATTCAAAGTTTCTGGTAGTTCAACAAATGGGGAAATTATAGCCCAAAACTGAAAAATGCACTTTTCGAGAATGCGCTGGTGTTCATTTATTTTCAAAGACATCAAAAATAAACCGATACAACGAAATATCGAAGGATCTTCAGTATTACAATCACTTTTAACGACAATTTATTTTAATCTTACATAATACATTTTATAGTTAACAAACATGCATCAAATTCATGTTTTGGTCATTGAGATAATGGTCTTAGTCTTTTTTCCAACGATCTTGGTGTATAAATAACGATTTTGCCCCTAGTGTTTTTCCCAATGATCTTGGTGTATAAATAAATAACGATTTTTGTGGCCTCAGAAAAATAATAGATATCACACACATGCGGTTATCAAATGTGCACATGATGTACTATTTCAGCATCAAGATAATGCGTTTGAAAGCTTTTACAGCTCCAAATTTATGTGTAAAGAATAATTTTGGGTACAGTTTGCTCTAAATCTTTTGACCTATACCACAGAGAAGAGTTATATTGAATTATTACCACGGACCTCTTTTTTTTTAAGAGGTCCGTGATTATTACACATCTAAGAGTCAAAGGGATCTAGCGAAAGTCCGAACTCGATACATGACCTAGGGAATGAAATATTTTGATTTCTATTGTATTGATCCCGCAGTTTTTCCTGTTCCCGATTCACTCGAAGTCCTATAACTTTTGTTCCTGTTGAACCAGCTTCCTGAAAATCAATAGCGTCCGTCCTTAATGTCCAAAGTACCCGTACACCAAATTTCAACGCAATCGACCACTTTTAAAAAGAATTAGAGCGCACACGGACGGACGACAATACAAAACTATAAAGGATCTGAGGATCCTTAATAACGGGCGATCAAAAAAAGATTGACGCCGAGTCGCCTTTGGAAGTTCAAGCTAAAATTGATTTCCCATGTACCATATAACATTAATTCTTCTTGGAATATTCTCTCAATATACTGACTAAGTATTTTAAAAATATTCAATTATTTATAAAATATTTAAAGAATATTTATATTAATTATTCTATGCATAATCTATTCAATTATTCCTGGAATATTCTCTTATTATGCTAAATATTCGATCATTTGGACAATAATCAACGATTATTCAATGTAACTATTGTAGGAATAATCGAACTCGGTTACAAGTATTCAACTAAGAATTGATCTCATTCTAATAGAAGAATAGAGAATAGAGAAGTACAATTTATTTAAACGAAAAAGACTGGCCAGCATGATGCTATCGGAAATTTACCGCCCTACATCTTATATGCTATCTAGTGATTTCTTACCTATTCTCCTAGTAGCACAAAAATATATAATAAATATTTAAAATGAAATATTTACAAAATTAGTGACGCTCATCAATATTACAGAAATATTTAATTAAATATTTCTTAAATAATTTTTAATGTTTTTTAAATGTCAGACATATTTTTTAAATATTTTACCTCGTATTTTACCAATATTTGTAGATATTTTAGAAATATTCGTCAAATATTTCAGACATATTTTTTAACTATTTGACTAATATTTGTAGATATTTAGAAAACATTTGTTAAATATTTCTACCCTAACTTCACACTACAGTAACACGGAAATAAAATGGAAAATGACCGCAAGAATGGCTATTCCCCCCAAAAGTTAACTTGATCCCGCTTAAATTTCAAATCGACAAGGGGAACGATACGTTACGTTGTAAACAACGCTATGATCTAAAGTATAGTGGGGAAGGAACGTACAATAAAACGCTGAAATGGACAAAAGTTTGTTTATTAACTATTATATTACGAAGATTCTGAAAGCCCGGAAATTTAGTTGAAATAAATTACATTGGAAAAATAAACTTTGAAAATGGTAGTTATCGAGTGAAAATATAGGCTGTTAAAAAAGAACGGATCAAGTATCAAGTAAAAGTATGATATGCCGAATCATAGACTTCACTGGAATTCCTATATCATTAAAACTCGATAAAAAAACAAGTACCTATTGACATAACATAAAATTATAACAGTTAACATACTCGCACATAACGATAAACAAAATATATACCATCGATAGGCTTCAAGAGGTGACATATTGGCACCGGTTTAGCAAAAGATTGACACGAAACTCCAAGGGTCAACGAAAAGAATCGATTATTTTCTACGACACATAAAAACCCGGTTCAAATAAATACTAGGAGGATAACGTTAAATATCACATTACAACAAAACAAAGGAACATGTAGTGGCAAAACGTTCGTAAAGTAATTAATTCTCAATTCCAAGTGCAATACGCAACAATCAACGCCCGAACGTACGTCACTCGCCCCCAGACGAAGCACCCTGTAAATAAACAGTAACGTATTCAAGCAAAAGAAATTCAATTATAAATTAAAAATGTAGTATCGATGTTTCCAAATACAGCACCATCCACGAATCGCTATAATATTTGTTACATAGTTTGATTCTGCATACCCTAAGACAACATACTGTATCTAAATATAAATAAAAACACGTAAATCGGTCAGTAATTCATATTGCGGGTTGGCAGATAAAACCAGCACTAGGGACAAAGGGATACTGTAAGTTGAAAAACAACATACTTACGTAGAAAACATAATGGAATCTTGCATTTAATTCATAGTATGATCAGTAGACCTACAAAAGGGCAATTTGTATTTAGAATGTGTTATAAATGACAATATGTGTTAAAGCATTTTTATGGTTAAATTTGCCATTTTTTTTTTAATTCTAAAGACTCTTTATGAAAGCTGGCATAATTTCCATTAACCATTCTATGTGAAGGTTCGTAAATTGTAATAAAATAAATACGAAAGTTAGCATTGCACAGTCTGCGCATGCCCATCACGCACACCTGATGTTTATAATTGCGATGCGATGTGATATGTTTGCCTTTACTAGAAGCAGAAGTATCTGTGTTTAAAATTTTAACTAAATATATTAACAAATAAGGTATTGCGTAGCCTGCGCATGCGCACATTATACGTCAAGATTTCCATTGGCACAGGTGCCGTTATAAGCTACCGAATTTTAAAAAAAAACAAGATGCGAGGAATCGTAAATGATTTTCAGTAGGGAAATCTTTTACCACTAAGCTCGTATTCACTGCTCTGATCCTTGAACTCGTATTGGCGAAGGTTTGACATCGCTGTCTCTTTTCGTTCTCGAGTTAGACGAAGAACAGACGAACAGACCGACAGACGGACAAAACCATTACGTAAGGGGAATTTTTTTTTCTTCCAAAAAATTCCCATAAAAGCGAACTAATCTCTGTTGAAAACTGTAGGCCTCGGAGGGACAGATGGACAGACGGAGGGACAGAGAAAGTAACTGTAATAGCGCAACCAACTTCGTTGGTGTACCTTGTTTCACAACCTGCATATTGTATCGGTATCGAAAATGCATTTTCTATTTCTACCTTATACAAGTAGGTACAATTAGTGACCAAGTATGTAGGATTTTTCTACTTTCATTGCCATCACAAGTTGTGTACGAAATTGTAATGTTGGTTGCGTGAGTTTGGAAGGCACTCGCTACTCTTCAAATAATACCGCCTAACTGATCCGCAACCAACATCACATGTGGCGCACCACTGAAGGATGGATGATGGAAATTAAAGTGAACAAAAATCTTTGTTGATAGCTTGTATATGGTTATTTTGAATCCAATTATCTGCCTCTTTTTTAGATTTTGTTGACAACAGACGACCTGTATCGATCGCTTTCGTAATAAATTCAGAATGAGTGATCATTATCACTATTGAGATAACCACCGTTCACCCAGGCATTGAATAAAAAATTAATTTATTCAATGACCCAGGTTAGTAATTGATGAATTGATTGTTTTATTTTCATCGCCCGCTTCCATGCGTTGCTTTCATTTATTCGTTACGTACATTTTAACAACTTAATTTGCACGGCATTTTGTCGGCTATAATCGAGATAGTATTTAGAATTTTGGATGAAATCAATGGTGGTCTTGTTCTTTAGGAACTGTAAAAGCATCGACTCGCCACGATCGGGTGGAGTGCCTGTAAGGGCCAACCTTTCACGATTCATTTCAATTTAGGTATCTGATACCGTCAGACAAATCTGGCAAAACCGTCCGGAAGAGTGTTGTCCAATCAAAAAATGCTTATAGAAGTTTCTGACAGTTAGTAGGTCAGGACCAGATCATAAAATTGGAAACTTGGAGAGTCTGTAAAATCTCAGTTACAGGATTCCCGTAGTCAATAATTAACCCATTAATTGCGATGTTACACTTTGTTCCCAAAAGCGAGTAAGTTTGCATCTTTGTTTTTTTGTTACAAAAGGCAACATTAAAAAATTATAAATTATATATTTACAGTTGTATAAAAATTAACAATATAAAAGGAACTTTCACTTCGATCAATGAAACCGTGAGTTCGATCCTATACTAAAACTGTACAACAAATACTTCGAAAAAATTACAAATTAGTTAATACCGATCCTAAGACTACTATCACAGGTCGGAGGGTTAGCATCACCATGGCCTCCACATATCACTGTTCGATGGTGGATCCGATTTGGAATCGGAACTCGTCGATGTCGAAGGCATTTGGTAATTTGTAGAAACGGCACTTTCACACGGCATAGCCTGGGAAAAGCTACCCTCCTGATGGAAGTGGGCGGTTTCGGGGTGCTTGCTGATTCGGAAATCGGTCGCGTGAGGATCGTGGTAGGTCTTCATGATTTTACTTGTGGGAGCCGCAACCGTTAGCAACCCGGAATGCGGGTACTCATTCTTTCTTTTGATCCCTCTCTGTAGGTTCTCCTCGTAGTTTGCCGTTTCGTCTAGAACCTGTGCGTGCTTGTAACGTTCGGACTGATTCGTGATAATACTGAGAGGTTCCGCCAGCTTTTGTGGGCTTGAGAATTTCTGTATGGGAAACCGCATCGTTTTCACTTCCGTCTGTAGGTTGATTTCGGACGAAGAGCTCACCAGATCGGTTACATTGCGTTGGGTTTGAAGACCGATTCGCAATGGGTGTACCGGTCGAAAGCCACGCGGCGACGGCGGCGAGATTTCGTCCTCCTGACGCAGACTACTCGAGCTGGAGCTGGGACTTTGCGGAGGGCTGAGCAATTTAAACGGCAGCTTCGACGGACTTTTACTTTTTGCCTGTACTGGATTGAAGGTGGAAGGTATAACTGTAACGAAAGCACTTGGTCTTGTGGACGCTGGCTTGAGCAAATCTTGTGAAGATCCCTGGCTGTTTTGCGTTGGGGAGGAAACTGACGGGAAGTAAGGCAAATTGCTAGAGTTTGGGACGAGTAAGGCGAATTCGCCCGTAGGTAATCTACTGGGAATTACTTGCAAACTTTGCGGTATTTGTAAGCTGGGGTTATTATTCTGGTCGCCCGAAGTTTCCGAGCCGGTTTCATTCGCATTTGAGAAGAAGTTTGTATTCGCAAGAAAAGGGACCCCGCCGAAACCGGGGAAATTTAAATGCACTATCTGTTCTATTCCACTGATGCACTTTGATAAATGCGTCGCGATTCTTTGCTGAAGGGCGGCATCGATGCCATCCAAATTGCCGATGTATCTGTTTACTTCATCGGCGCATTCGTTAAAACCGGCTTTAAATTTTCGTAGCACAGACGGATCTGAAGCCATCGCCAAGGCTAACTGTTGACGCTGGACGTTTTGAAGATGCTTTACTGCCATTTCTAAAATATCCGCCTTCTCCAGTTTGGAATGTCTGGCTGGCTGTAAAACAGGTTTATCTATCACGTTTACGCTTATTTATTAGGATCAATAATACTACTTACGTCTTTTTTCATTGCGTCCAAGATTAAGCTTTTTATTTCGTTCAAGCAGTGGTTTATCCGAGCTCGTCGTCGCTTTTCCATAATTGGCTTGTGGGTCTAAAATCGAATGTGACTTTTAATTAAAATGACAATTATACGAATTAATGTACTGTACCTTGCGAAGTTCCGCTTTTGACATCGTCGAGGATGGCTCGTACGAAGGGCGGGAGTCATACTCGTCCTCGCTAATTGGCATGGGTCCTGTCGAGCTCTGTAGGCAATGAAATGAGGCGTTGTAACTTAAGTGGGCAAAGAATGAAAAGATTTATACCTGATGTAGACTTTATGTTAATGAACTATCTCAAGTCTGTTTCTTCCAAGAAGTCAAAAAAAGCCGACACTTAAAAATGTGCCGCTTTTATCTTTATATTGGTAATTTAATTGAAAAGCAACAGCCGAACTAATCTACCTATTTAATCCTAATAACATTAAAGTACGTACCTCCAAGACCTGATAAAAATCCAATTTAATGCGCACAATTTTATTAGAAACAAATAAAACGCACTTGGAATCACTCGCGCAATACTTCTAGCCGTAGGTACAGATTCGAAATACTATTACAACAACAACACGAGAAAATTTTGCGGTCCAAAAAGCATCTACCCCGTCGAAAGGTCAGGCGTGTTAGTGATCGGTGTTTAATGTTGAAACGACATTCCGATACAGCGTGGGAACATCACGAAATTCCCCTCCGCCACAAAGCAGCATGGCCAGAACACCCTTCTCGGACAGGGTAAAATAACTTCACAGTATAAAGTTCCCACGTTCAGATCCGTACTGCGATTGCTTTTAAGTTTTTGGGACGTCGCTCATTACGTATTTTGTGAATTAAAATAATATTTGTATTATTACGACATGTGTTTGGCCTTGTTTACTCCCTTCTGTTCCTGACGCTTTATACGACCAGGTTTAAACGTTCTAATTAAACCAATTAGAATATACAATTTGAAAATAGTATGCAAATTTCGGGATCCATCAAATTAGAATAATTTATATTGGTGACGTGAGGGGATATTTTACGCTTGGTGCACCAATTTCCGTCTCTATTATCTACCCAGTATCCGGGCACAGGATGATCCTCAATTTTTAGACTGAAAACACCCCGTGCAACGAAAAAGCGTAAAATAGAAAACTATGCCAAACTCTTGCTACATTCCTTTTGAACACTCTATCTACAGTATATTATTAGACATCAATTTGTATCAATTGGTATAAGGATGGGAGTAAAACAATGGTAATTGTCATCTGTGACGCTGACGTTACAACACCAGAACATGGGTGTCTAGTGACTACTGCTCGTTTTCAATGACTTAATTAATTGTTGACTGTCTTAAGAGCTATTTTGCCTTCCTTCTTTCCTTGGACGGTGGAAGCAGTACATAGTTACCTACCTTTTTCTCGCTCCTTTCATTTTAGTGTATTGCAATTTCATTTTGTGATCCTACATTTTCCATGATTTGCGTACCGTACTTGCCGATAGATACTTTGGAGATATGCCTTTTAGAAAGAATATACATAGGTAAGTATACTGTGTCCAAGATAATATATGTCTATCATGGGGATCTCCGAAACCATAGAAGGTACGATGATGGTACCGTTATGAAAAAGATGGGCAATTAAAGAGTTATTCTTTAAAGAAAATCATAAAATTCCTATTACCTCCGAAGATGTGTCGATTTCGCTTTTATTTTTTCCTGCTGTTATTTGACCAAGTACAAAAAAAATTATTAGCCCTCGTGTGAGATCGAAGGGACTTCACACATTCCCTTTTTCGGAACCCGCTTCCGACGTCCCGTACACACGTAATTCGCGTTTGAAGTTTTGACTCCACTCCAGATCTTGTTAGGGGCAATCACATTCCCTTTGTTGGTACCCACTTCCGACGTCTCGACACCAATTTGAAAACAATTGGACTAAAACTGCAGAAGAAGATAGGAAAAAATGAAAAATCTCAAGGTTAGTATTACACGCTCGGAAATGGCGCCCAGATTTTAAAAATATTTGGAAGTATACACCCACAAAGTAGGGCGCCCAAATGGTACATTTTATTAAATAGAACCCCCTATATTTGAATGCATTTTTGAATTCTACGTGTAATTGTACATCTTTTTTATTATATGGTTAATATCCGAAAAGCTAGTAGTTTTAAAGATAATTCGATTTTTAAGAAACATTGGGTATTTGCAAGCGTCAGTATATATTATCAAAATTATTACTTAAATTTTGATTGCAGGTTTTATATCTTATCCTGGGTTAAGTAAAAGTCAAATAAATACATCTACTATGAAACATGAAAAATATACAGGGTGTTTTTTTGGTAGGTCCAAAGTTGCAAAACTTCATATTAAAAAATCTCACACACCCTGTATATTTTTCTGTCATCATTTAGCTCCTCCAAAAACCTTCAACTTTTATAATAATGTGAGAGATATACCAATCTCTGATAGTTTTAGAAATATCTTGGTTTTCCTGGGTTTTATATTCTAATCTAATAAGTTATATGTAATTTACATAATAGTGAGGTGGACATGCAAAAAAAAGGCAATTTTTATCTATTTCGTCCAAAATGAAAATCATATCGATTAATTTATTTTTCAAACAATTTATTTTAAGTCCAAAAACTGGAGAATAAGTAAAAACATTTGACTACAAAACAAATTTAATTTAACTCCGAATGTCATCCAGTCAGTGATATATTTCATTTTTTTTCATATTCACCTCGTTATTATGTAAATTAGAACTTATTTCAGATTAAAAGATAAAAAGTAGGAATTATCAAATTTATTCTCCAGTTTTTATAGACTACGAATTATTATAAAAGTGAATTAATAAATATGATTTTAGCTTTGAACGAGGCAGATAAAAATTGCCTTTTTTTGCATGGCCACCCCACTATTATGTAAATTACATGTAACCTATTTAAGATTAGAATATAAAAACCAGGAAAGCCAAGATGTTTCGAAAACTATCAGAGATAGGCCTAGAACATTATTATCAAAAGTTGAAGCTTTTTGGAGGAGCTAAAAGATGACAGAAAAATATACAGGGTGTTCCATTTAAAAAAAGTGAAATTTTGAATATGAAGTTGTGTAACTTTGGATCTAAAAAAAAACACCTTGTAAGTTATTTTTTTAATGTTTTATAGTAGATGTATTTATTTGACATTTATTTAACCCAGGATAAGATATAAAACCTGGAATCAAAATTTAAGACGCTTGCAAATGCTCAATTTATCTTAAAATTCGAATTATCTTTAAAACTACTAACGTTTCGTATATTATCCGTATAGTAAAAAAGACGTACAATTACATGTAGAATTCAAAAATGTATTCAAATACAGGGGGTTCTATTTAAAAAAATGTACCATTTGGGCGCCCCACTTTGTGGGCGCACCCTGTATAATTCCAAATATTTTTAAAATGTAGAGAATATTCAACCATATCATACTACAAAAGCACTCTATCGAAAAATCTTATCTTCAAGGCATTAACTTACTCCGCGCAATCGTTGACTCACCCTGTACACACACTCCTCGTCTTTGTACAAGCATTTTTCTACGGGCCATCAGCCAAAGTGAGATTAAAAGCTACCTTTTTACAAATAAATTTGCAAAAATGCGCTAATAGGAAACACTTTATCGTTGCCACTTTTTAAGCTCTAGAAGACAGCGTTGAGAACTTTTCAATACGTTTTGTTTCGGAGAAATTGTCAACGCTATTTTTTTGTATGGCCCGTAAAAAAAGTACATCCTGTATTGAGTAGCATTTTTATTACGGCACACAAAGAAACTAAAGCTGGAAACTGTTGGTTTCAACAAGATGGTACAACCGCGCACAACGCCCTAATCTTGCGAGAATACCTGAACATATTTTTCATTTTTGCATTCGTAGTAAAAATACTACTCAATACAGTATATAATTTTTTGCGAGCCATATAAAAAAATAAAGGTGTTGATGGTTTCTATTGAAAATCCCTCAACGTTGCCTCAGAAAGAAATAAAATCGAAATCGACAAATTTCGGGATTTCTGGTGTATCTTCGGAAGTAATCGGAATTTCTCGTTTTCTTTAAAGCATGATCGCTAATTTGGTCATCGTCGTATCTTCTATGGTTTCCAAATTCTCCATGATAGAAATCCTTATTTTGAACACAGTGTATATGTTTTATCAAAGTAACTTAATACGACGAAAATATTTTGCACATCACAATTTTTTAAATTTTGGTTTGGAAAAAGAAAACGCAACCAAAAAACTTGATACACTTTGCACCTTCTAAATACTTGTGTATAACTGATTCTTTAAATGGCGTGGGTTAAGATACAGTCGATGCAAATGGTAAGTATTATTCCGCTAACACTTATTTAATTTTCATGCCATTTGTGCCTTGACCTTGAAGCTCTAATCGTTGTTTTCGCTTAACATTGAGAAACTAAAATCTCTTAAAAGGACTAAATAGTTCCGGAACAATACATTTTCCGTAACGAAGTACCTCTAGATTAAAGCTGGTAGACACCAAAATGTACGGAGTGTTCATTAATGCTGGTATTTTCATACCAGAGTGCCTCGTTACACGGCAGCCGGACGGGTTTGGATAGCGTGAGTTAGATAGCATATTGCCAGACGCGAGTCTTGCAGTTTGCGTTGGGACCGATTCGTTTTTTTCTGAACAGCCAGGTAAAAATAGTAGCTTCCGATTAGTAGAGAACGCGGCGGAGGGTGCAAAATTTCTGTGGCCACTGGCGGAACCCCCTGTTCCGTTTTGGTTGTCTTGGTGGGCGCTCTGGGAGAAATGTAAAATACGTAAAAGAACAAGAGCGGCCGCGTCTACAAAGCGTCTGAACAGGAACTGGAATTCTAATACCTCCCGCTTAAACTTTCGATACGCTTTAAACAAACGTTTTTAAATACTTACTCCTTTCCCCGACATCGGAAAAATATGGGACCGATGTCAGACTTCAAGTTTTTTAAGCGCGCGCCTATCGGCTGTACTCTCGACTTAATCGGCGGTTGTTGTCTGTAACCGATTTAAATGATTACGATTAATTATACATATCCAAATAGTCGGAATAAAATTTCCAAATTTGGCAGTCCAGCAGTTCCCGTTCTCGTTTGTTCCTTGCAATGTGAGGTCAATCGTAAAAGGTCTGCAATAACGAAACATACTGCTTGAACTGTTATGCTCGTTTTTAAATTGACTATAGAAAACAAAACCTGCCAATAATTGATTATTATCATCTCTGAATTTCTAAAATATTAATTTGCTCACTGCCCTGGCTTTCAGCGGCTGTAAAATCAATTCAAAAATGTAAGGTTGTAAAAAAGACCGATTCACTACGAAACTTAAATGATGCTCAGAAAAGTGGAAGTTCTGACTTTTTTAGGTTGAAATACTAATCAAATTCCTAGCATCGTTAGATTTACAGAAGGTAATTTGTCCAATTGAGTGACACTAACTAGGAAATTAAGCCTTCTACAATTTACAAATGAGAATAATTTGTTTCACTGTCACCATCTTCTCCCCGATTAGATTGATTCCCTGTGCAGCCAATCAGTTCTCGAGACGTGATTTAATTTCGGAGTACGGTACTGCATTAAATGTGGGAAAGTGGCTTGTACTCGATATCAAGTGCTACGAGCGCCACGAGCACCCATTGTTTAGGTAGGTAGGCAGTAGAAGCAGAAGAACTTGTTAAAGAACTGTTACATGCTTTTATTTGGTTTCGTTTATTTCAAAGGTACTGGAAGCCGAGAGGGTGGGATCGAAGAACAAGTTGGAAATAAAAAACATATATA